GTGTTAAAGGTATTGTCTCAGGATATAAGCTGTTCCAAGTAAAGCTGCCTTTTGCAATTGAATGATGATGATTTTGTCAATGCCAGTGGTCTTCAAGTGGTGCTCCAGATGTTTTGGAATTGCACCTAAGGCACCTATAATTATTGGTACTATCTTTGGTTTCTTTTGCCATAGTCCTCCTACTTCTATTTGCAGGTCTTTATATTTTGTGATTTTCTCCAGTTCTTTCTCTTCTACTATGCTGTCTCCAGGTATTGCAGTATCCACTATCCAGACGTTTTTGTCTTTCTTATCAACAGTTGTTAAGTCTGAGGTGTTGTGTGGCAGGTGCTTGTCTATTTGAATTCTAAAGTGCCAGAGCACTTTAGCGTCTTAATTTTCTATCATTTTGTCTGTTTTGTAGTCCGACCAGTTCTTGCTTGCAGGCAAATGGTATTTCTTGCAGATATTCCAATGCATCATCATCATCATCATCAATGCTTTAAAATATTCAAAGAATCTTAAACACATTATTTGTCTTTAATTGTTATATCAACACCATAAGGATATTCACTATTATCTCCATTTTGCAGCTGAAGTGCTGAGGGCAGAATAACTAGCCAAATTTTATCTAATATTGGAAAGAATACAAAGAAGAATCCACCTTTAAGGAAAGTAATTCACAGGCTTATGCCTGCAATTTTTTTTTCCTGTGAAAAGAAAAAACCAAAAGCCCCAGCCTGAGTCAGCTTTATTTTCTTGGGGAAGGGTGTATACTTGTTCCATTTATCTTGCCATAGGTCTGTTGCAAGCAAAAAAACAGACCCGTTCTCTGCAGAATTAGTGAATTAAAGAAGGTTTTACTTACTCTTTCACCACCAAAAAGATTTGCTTTGGGGAAGTTGGAATTGAGAATTGGTTGCAGGGAGAATGAAGGATACACAAGGGTTTTGGCTCCTTTCTATCCTCTACAATTGTGTTCACTTTGCATGAATTATTCATGGGTCCTTTTTGTATAAAACAAAGCAAATGTTAATGGGTCACTTTGCTAGAGTATTCAGTCTCCCTAGTAGAAAGTCATAGTAGTAAGAAGAATATCTCCATTGTTTCTTTCTGCATTTCCAGAAAATTGAACGGGTGGATGACATAAAGATGGGAAACATAGCGAAAGAAAACCCACACATTCATGAATTTAAGGATTTGGAAGTGGAACTTTAGGATTACAGTGGCAGACTCCTCTCTCAGCTCCTTTGGGTTCTACTAACTTGTTTTCTACTAGCCAAGCAAGTGTAAAAGGCATAGAGCTTTTCACAAGAAAAAAATGAAGACAATTTTGAGTTTCCTCCACATAGCTGTAAGAGATATGAAGATCAATATTTTGCCTTGCAGTTAACAATGCAAATCAAAAACAACCAATCATAATTAGTCAGTTTCACAGTTTAGGCAAGTACTGCCTAGAGTAGGGGAAATAGTTGATCAAGTACATGTTATTAATACATCACATAACAAGTTCTTTGTTATCAAACATATTTCTCATAGTTAAAGAATTCCTGAAGGAAGAGAACTACAGCTGACATCCCTCAGGCAAATGTTTGAATAATTGATTATTTGGCTGTTGTGAAAGGGTTGCTCATTATTGATTTCTGTGGGATATCTTTCAAATCCTATGTTTATCCACTGTAAGAAATTGATAATATATTTGAAAATGGGAAGAAATGCCACCTACTTTAACTTTGAAGCAACCAAATAATAATTTATACTGAGCTTCACAGTAGTCTTTTATCTAAGCATGGGCATCACATTCCTAACATTATCTTTTAAGAGATGTGGTACCTATCTAAACTTTAGATCTAATATATGACTGTTGTAAAATACAGTATGTTGAATTAGGTGGCATGGAAGCAGTGAAAATAGTCTAGTGATTGCTTTTCTTGAACTTTCCTTCTTGGCTACATAGTACTTTACAGTTCTACTTTATAATTTGCATATCTTTACAGTACTTTGTCCCATGTTAATGCTTATTTATTTCTCTTCCTCCTCTCCTTGCTACTAATTGTTTTGCTAATGAGAATGTGTTTGGGACAGGAGAAAAGGAGCCCATTTTTATTATTTACCCTATCAAATACTCAGAGCCTGTTGAAATCAAAATGGTTGTGTTAATAGTCTTAATTACCATCAATTACTATTACTACTTAATTATTTCTTTGATTTATCAACACATATTCTTTATGGACTATCTGGCTGCAGTACTCCCTTGATCTGACCAGTTTATATATACACCTGGCTATCCTACAGTGTTGTCATGCTTTAATAAGGAATACAGCAGTTGTTTTTAAAACAGTATTTTTATTGAATTCTTTACTTAGGTTCATGTACCTTCCTATGATATGGCTGGGAATGGGTCAAGATCAGAGTGTATCAGTGGACTAACTATGAAATCACAGCTCCAGGTAACTGGTAAGTCTGTCTATCAGTCCTGTGGGTTGATTCAGATACTTTCTCTTTGAGAGCATCACTGAATGTATTCTGTTTCTTTATTGTATTTGAAAATTGTATATGTTTTATTATATGAAACAACACTAGGCAGCTAACAAACAAGTTGATCAACTGATTATGTGCCATCAAGTCAGTGTCAACTCTTAGTAACCACATAGATATTTTCCATGAAATAAATATGCAAATAATTAAAATGCAAGATTAAAGCTCTTAACACATCACCAGTGCCATGACATTACCCTCTCAAGAAAAATCCCCCCCTCCAAAAAAAGGCTGGGCCCACCTTCCATACCAACCCAATGCCTGAGGGAACAGCTAGGTCTTAACAGCTTTCAGGGAAGCAAGAAAGGTAGGGCCCTCCGTATCTCAGCTCCATACCTATTCTTCTCCAAGCTATGGAGAAGGCTTGCTTCCTAGATCCCACCAGATGACAACTTTTAAGAGAGGGGATCTGGAGCAAGCCCATCCTATCCAATATAGAGGGGCAAGTAGATGTCCTCAGAGAGAGGAGGTCCCACAAATAACCTGGCCCAGTGTCATACAAGTCTTTAAAAGTGATTACCAGCACCTTGAATTGCACCCAGAAATTGGGAGCCAGTGCAGCTTGTGCAGCAGTGGTGAAAAATGGGCAAACCACGAGGCATCCAAAACTATGCATTCTGGACCAGTTGAATTTTTGGGATGGTCTTCAAGGGCATCCCTTCATGTTGTTCACATTTCCAGTATACATTTGAAATACCTTTATACATTCTAGATAACTTCTCTGGCGTCATGTTCCAACAATACATCATTTTATAAAAATTCACTTTAAGATCATAACATAATGTAAATTTCAACCCTTTTAACCACATATTTTCCCATTGATCAACCTATATATTATAACCAAAATTCTTAGCCCACTTTATCATACATTATTTAACCTGTTCTTCCTCCATTTCAAATTTCAGCAAAAGTTTATACATTTTAGCAATTACACGTTCATTGTCAATGCATAATAGCACTTCAAATTCTGTCTTACTTTGCTCCATACTACAAGTCCTTTTATCCATTTTAAATATTTCTGATAACTATAAATGGGAAAACCATTGACAACAGTGTCCTTCTGCCATTAGTTGCTCTCTTGATTTAATTTTATATTCCCCTTAGTGATTTTCCAGTAATTCCTGATATGTTAACCATTTGTCTTTGCCTGTCTCTTCTGTAAAATGCTTCTTGTGCTAAGATCTATAGAGGTGTTTTTAGGCACAGCCTCAGTTTATATCTATTCCATATTCTCAATATGGCACATTTGATAAAATGGTTTTTAAAATCTACATTAATTTTAACTTTATCGTACCATAAATATCCATGCCATCCAAAACTCCAGTGGTGGTCTTCTAGCTCTAAAAGTCTTTTGTTTCTCAGCAACACCCATTCTTTCATCCAAACCAGACAACAAGCTGCAGAATACAGTTTCAAATCTGGTAAACCCAATCCTCCTCTTCCTTTACATCTTGTAACACTATATTTAACTCATGATTTTTTCCCTTACCATATAAATTTAGATATATCTTTTTGCCATTGCTTAAATGGTAAATCAGTTGTCAAAACAGGTATTGTCTGAAACGAAAACATTGTTCTAGGCAAAACATTCATTTTTATCACAGAAATTCTCCCTAACAGTGACAC